AAAAATTACCCCAATTAGGAAAGATCATCGATTACTTGTCATTTCTGCACTGGACCACCAACTCATGGTACCTCAGCATCATCAATGAACTATCGGACAACTTGGTATCATTTGACTTGGATCATCTTGCATCACATACTCCGATTAGTGTAGGTGTAGTATGCAATATTAGACTGTATGCTATACAATCCACTTTTTTTCTTGTCCACCTATCATCAAACTTGGTGGCTTTGTAAGAGGATCTAATTCCTGCTTTCCTTTCAATATATGGTTGTATTGCAGTATTAGAGAGTTTAGTTTTTTCTTCTTTCTCAGTATTCAAGTGATATCTAATCCCATTTTTTTTTTCTTGTCTTAGGGTTTTCCAAAGGGTTCTCCATTGTTGGGTATTGACACTTTGTTGTCAATCAAATTATATGTTGTAATTGTGGTTCAAAATGTAAGTCTAGTTTGGTTGAAAGCCAACTAAGACATGTGGTGAAAATGTTTAAATTGTAGACAAGTTGTCCTTAAATTAAGGAGAGTGGCATGTGAGTTGGTTAGTAGTATGGTTGTGTAGAGGTTGATAGAATAGTTGGTAGGATATCTTGCAAAAGTCTACAAGTGTGGCTATATATGGAGCCGATTTGTAAGAGAAATATATTAAGGAAATTTATAGAAAAATTGTTCAAATATAGACGTCCAAAGAGCCTTTCCTTATCCTCTGTTCTGGTCTTATTCCAGCAGAGTGAATGCTTATATTTTACCTATGTTTTACTTGTTTTAAGTTATGCTTTAATGTTGATTTACACTGCCATCTTCCCCACATTTTCCCCACCCGTAACCACACTTTATTGAGTTGTTAAACTCTATTTTGTTGAGCATTAATCAGCTCCTTGGAACTCTCTCGATCTGATTTGTTCTTCACCATGAAGATGGTCATCCTGTAAAAGGATAAACCTCTCATTTCTTCACACCATCGAGCACAATATTCCGCACAAATGGAAGAGCTTCGACTCTTCCAGATTCTACAATTGGTACCAGAGCTTTACTGATCTTAAGGGCCAGAAAAACGTTTTCAAATATGCTGCAAACTCAAAACAAAAATGATTTTCAAAACCCCCTTTTGTTTGTGTTTTATTTTCAGTGCACTCTCCAGGAGAGTTGCCAACATTGAGTTGTTTCAGTCTGCCCTGGGAAGATCTCAGAATCAGGCCATGTCAAGGCATCAAAAATGGCTGTAAACACCTGTCTTTCAGGCACTTTCATAGTGAAGAAAAGTGACCAGTTCGAGCTCTACCTTAATTGGAAAGAGTCTCACTTTATGGATCAATAGCAGCCACTCTTGAAACCTTGTAGAGAAAGCCCTCTTGACAATGGCTCAAATACTCTTGGATAAAACCAGTTTAAAGGTACTGTGTTTCAAGTGGTGCAAATGTCCATTGAAACCTTGGTGTGACAGTATGAAAAATGGCTCAAGAACCCTTGGAAAAAGCTAGGTGAAAGCTTTCCCTTGTGGTCTTAAAAAGTAGCTGAAGAACCTATGTTTCAATGATGTAAAATGCTGGAAAAATCATAAGTGCACCAGCAATCTTCATTGTGTTAAATGCCTGATCAATTTTTTCAAAAAAAATGGAGGTTGATATTTAGTGAAGAAGCTGGTGAAAAAAGAGACTGCCAAAATGCTGAAAACAAAGGAAAATAAAGAAAAATGTTGCTATAAATGGGTGAAAAAATGGGTTAAATCTAGTGTTTTTTGCGAGGATTTAGAGTTGAAAAACTAATATTTGAAGATTAGAGGTGAAAAACTAATCCTTAGCATCAAAAAATTGGATGAAATCAGCTGAAAAGGCTAGGAAAAATGCTGAAAAAAGAAGAGAAAAATAGAGAGTTTCTGTCATATCCGGTAAGTAAGATGCATATACGGTGAGTGTCTTGTAAATACAGTGAGTTGAGTGCAAATACGGTGAGTGCTCTATTTTTCATTTTAAACCAGTAACGCCCTTGCAAATCCGGTAATTTGTGTGCAATACCAATATGCTACATGTAAATCCAGTTAGTTCAATGCAACAACGGTATGCCATCTAGTGTTGAAATCCGGTATGGAAAGTGAATTCAAAAAGCACTCAGCAGCAGCAAATGGCCAAGAAAAACAAGAAACTGAAGAACAAACTGATGAAGATGGATCGAGATTTTGAAAACTTTGGCACAAAATTTGATTTCCAAGCAAAGTGTCAAAGGGGAGTTTGTTGGGTATTGACACTTTGTTGTCAAGCAAATTATATGTTGTAATTGTGGGTCAAAATGTAAGTTTAGTTTGGTTAAAAGCCAACTAAGACATGTAATGAAAATGTTTAAATAGTAGGCAAGTTGTCCTTAAATTAAGGGGAGTGGCATGTGAGTTGGTTAGTAGTATGGTTGTGTAAGAGTTGATAGAATAGTTGGTAGGATGTCTTGTAAAAGTCTACAAGTGTGGCTATATATGGATCTGGTTTGTAAGAGAAATATATGAAGGAAATATATAGAAAAATAGTTTAAATGTAGACATCCGAAAAGCCTTTCCTTCTCCTCAGTTATAGTCTTATACCAGCAGAGTGAATGCTTATATTTTACCTATGTTTTACTTGTTTTAAGTTATGCTTTAATGTTGATTTACACTGCCATCTTCCCCACTTGTAACCACACTTTATTGAGTTGTCAAACTCTATTTTGTTGAGCCTTAATCAGCTCCTTGCAACTTCCTTGATCTGACTTGTTCTTCACCATGAAGATGGTCATCATGTAGAAGGATGAACTTCTCATTTCTTCACACCATCGAGCACAATATTCCGCACAAATGGAAGAGCTTTGACTCTTCCAGATTCTACATCCATTAGCCATTGATATATCAGAAACTATTCTCAAAGTCACAAAGAATGGAGAAGTTAACCAACTGGAAAAACACATGCTTTCCTTTTCAAATTGCTCAACTTTGTTGACTCAGTTAGCAGATAACATTGGAAGCTTAGGGCTAGAGCATGTCTCTGGCTTATTCAAGATTTCAGGTTCCATCTCTACAGTTGTAATTGTAATTGCAGTTGCTCGTTTAATGCAAAGACAGTGGTCAGTTCATGATTTAGTACAAAGATTATTGACAATGAAGAGTGTTTTGAGATGGGCTGCATTGGTTCTTACTGAGTGCTACTCAAGATTTGGTTTGAGATTCTTTAGGGAAATCGCTGTAGTGGGACAAAATCATCAAATGGATGCAACTCAGGATCGCATGGGGCAAAAAGAAGTCAGCTTGGAGCTGGCTACTAAAACATTAACATAACTTCTATGTGATAGGATAAAAAGCCAACAAATGGGCACGATCCTTATATATAATTATTTTATGTATGTCCGAGATTGTGAATTCAAGTCGTAGTTAGAATAAAAAAAGAAAAGGTCTTTTATCAAGAATGTTTGATGTAATTCTTTTTCTTAAATCTTCTTTATTAAAAAAGGTTGAACTCCAACCTTGAGGGCCCCCCACCATCCCGCCCCTAGAGCATTGTAGAGGAGGTAGATTGCGGAATGCGCCTCAGCAAGCCGGGTACAAGAGGTGTCATACTGATACCCACAAAGAGTCAAATTTCATACCTTGTAAGAGGTAGGAGTCGAACCCTCACTCTGCGGCTGCCAGCTCAGCTGAAACTACCTCACTCATGTCCTTTACACCAATAAGCTATATCTCGGGGGGCTCAATCTTCTTCATTACTATCATGTTTTGGTGCGTGACACATTGCTGATTTTGAAGCTTTTAACATGATACAATAAGGAGTGAAACCTAATGGCTCTAGAGCATCCTTATGCCCAACGTTAGCTTTGACATCTTTTGTCGATGGTGTTAGATTTTGGTAAATAGTACTGCCTTTATTTTGTGTATAAACAGACTTCTAAGTGAAACTTGAACTCTTCAAGAGAGTGGAATTTTGCTAGGAGTGGCAAATGGGTCCAGCCGTTCCTCGCTTACGAGATTGGTGCGTCTCGACTCAGCCTATAGGGTTATCCGGCTCGTATTGAGACGTGCCGGCCCTACTTGAATTCGTGGGCCACTAAAATTGACCATATGGGCCAAAGGGTCAGATTTTTAATTTTTTTTCCCCTATATAACCCCTCACTTCATTTTTTTCCGCACAACTTTACCTTCTTAATTTGTATAAGCTCAATATCCTTGTGTGGCCACAATTTCTACAAGATTAAAAGCAATTTTTTGCCGTTGCAAAGTGTAGGTGGGTCCCAGTTTGAGAATTAACGGAGAATGAAGTCGACAAAGATGATAGCAGTGGGCCATTTTGCATTGGCAACTGTCAAATAATTAGTTCAAATTTGGGTGAAAATTTCTCCCAAACAGCGTCATATTAGTTCATCTTTTGTGCGGTTCGAAGTTTTATTGTCTCTAACTATACTTATTTGAGCTATTTCTATCATATATTCTAGTATAAATTTTGTAAATGACCAACAAAGAAATAGATGGAAAGCCACAAGGGTAATTGGCGCAAAACGTCCCTACCTATGCCTGTTTTTGTCAAAAACGTCCCTACCTTTCGTTTCTTGACGCAGAACGTCCCTACCTTTCACTTTTCTTGTGCAAAACGTCATTTTCCCTAATTTTTAACTTAAAATGACCGATATACCCTCCAATTTAAATAAAACATAAAGGAAAAGAAAAGAAAAATAAAAAACAAATTGCAATCTTACTCCTGTACTTTTTAAAAAAGGCAAATCACCAACCTCCATTCTCTACAATTTTCCCTATTCTAATTCCCATAATCTCTCTGTAAATGATTTCAAAAAAAAAAAAGAATCTCTCTATAAATATCCTCTTTCGATTACAGTCTTTATCAGTCACTACATCCCAGAAACATCTCTCATTCTTCTCACTCTACAGATTTTCCCTTTTCAATTTCAACATTTACATACAAAAAAAATTAAACTTTTATACAGACATGGTATCTATCAGTGTCTCTATCTCTGTGTATATATAAAGGATCGGAGGAATGGCGGGAAATGATTGGATAAATAGTTACCTGAAGGCGATACTGGATGCTGGGCCTGGGATTGATGATGCTAAATCGCCACTGTTGCAGGAGATCGTCAGTGGATTCGGTTTAGCCCGACTCGGTACTTCGTGGAGGAGGTCGTCACTGGATTCGATGAGACCGATCTCCATCGCTCCTGGGTTAAAGTAAGTATTTGCAGAGTGGAGGGAGAGTAGAGAATGGAGGTTGGTGAGTGAAATGGACTGGAGAGCCAACACCGTGAATGGTTGTGCCGGACGAAGTCGTCGACGATGGATGGAGGGAGGCGACAGGTTGGAGAGAGGGAATGGAGGGAGAAAATTATGGTGTGTGATGTTTGGTGAAATTAAAGGACATGGAATTTTTCCAGAAATGTGGGGATATTAATTGTTTGTTCTGTATTAAGGTGGTGGCGGTGAGTGTCCAATTACCCAAGCCACAATATAAAGCACTATGTAAAAACTGCATGAGGTGTGAATGTCTCCATCTTCTCCATCTTTAATTATTCTAATGATTTGCAGTGTATCATCATATATTTCAGGACCAAAACTCGGAAAAATAAATTCAACAATCTTTGTATAGCTCCTTGAGTCATACATTGATGATTATGATAAAGACTGCATTCTATAATGGATCCTCGTACATTTCTTCCGACTCTTTGAACTTTGTGGAGATATATTCCATCTTGCATTGAGAGTTTATATATTCAAAGCACTAGGAAGTTATGGAGCTCGAGATCAAAGATAAAATTGACAGATAATAGTTGAAATCTTTTATTTCATAATTTATAAGCTTATGGTAACTTCCTTTAAAATTTGACATAAAAAAATTATACGCATAATATCTTATATGTAAATTATTTTAAATCCGCCAAGTAAAAAATAGTTGATCCCTTGTCCCAAAAAAAGGAGGATATCAATTTTTTTTTTTTAATTTACAAAATAAGTCGGCTTGTGGATAGTCTGGCTCGACCCATGAGGCCCACGAGCCAAAGGACCGAACAAAGTCGACTAAGGTTTTTGTACACAACTCGTAACTCAACAAGCAAAAAGACCAATGGAATAAATATTTTGAAAAAAGAAAAAGAAAAATGTCGAGATGAAATACAAAAATAAATACAAAAGCTAAAAAATATCATCAAGATTGACTGTCGTTCAACATGCATACCCTGGTTACGCCGAAACAAATGGAGTCTTTTCTCTTACAACGGCGAACAAAAATCTTTAGTCATACTTCTTAAGACGCGCTATTTTCTTCAGAACATTTGCGTTTCTCTCACTCCATTCTCCTCTCAACTACACAATAAACTAATCAGAATTAGTAAACAAATCCATCAATTACATTTAAGACTCCGCTGCTGCAAAGTCTGCCATCAGTAAAATGACGGTTCATATAGCCCACCAAGCATACACACGACACAACACCCACTCAACACTCGATCCCTCATCGAAATCCCAACACAACTCTTTTCACTTTTTAAAAATTATTTGTTCACTTTTTTTTTTTGTTTCAGATACTTTTCCTTTTATTTGACAATTGCCTCGTAATTCCCGCAGTTTAACTGTCAAATTGCCACAACATTTGTAAGAACCTTCCAATAATTGGCGCATCATTTTTTTTTTTTTTTTGTCTTTGTCTTGGTATTTACAAGAAAAGGGACTTTCTTTTTTTGAATTCTTGATCTGGAAAAGAGATGGAGGGTGGTGAAGAAAAAACAGTGAAAATGAAGTTGCTGGCCGATCGGTCCTTCAGTTTGGAGCCTGATGCGGCGGTTTCTTCGCCGGTGACACGGCAGAAGGCCGCAGCCGCGAAACAGTTAATTGAGAATCATTACAAGAACTATCATCAAGGGTTGCAAGATCGCAAAGAAAGGTGAATTATCATTATTAATCCTTCTATCTCTGAATCCATGTGTTCAATCCTAACTTTATTGCAACAAGGCTAAGTTTGTTGTTACTTAAATATATCAGTATGGTCGGCTCGACCCGAATTTATTGTGAACTAGGATGAGTTTGTTGTTGCGTGTACGTATATATATGCTATTGTTGGTGAGTTGTGTTGATTCTTTTTTAATTTGGGGTGGGTTTTCAGGCGGTGGGCGTTGCAGAGGAGGGCGAAAGAGGAGCGGGTATCGAATGAGGAGCAAGAGAGAATGCTGAGGAATCTGGAGAAAAGAGAGACAGAATATATGAGATTGCAGAGGCATAAAGTTGGGATTGATGATTTTGAGCAGTTGACTATCATTGGTAAAGGAGCTTTTGGTGAGGTATATATTCATTTTGGTATATCTTAAGCCATTGCACATTTTTTTCATATTTGTTCTGTTTTTCCGTATATTGTGATCAGAATGAGTCGGCAATGGACGATATTGATTTGGTACTGTTCTCTTGGTTAGATCATGAAGAAGGAATTTTGATTCTGTCAAACAATTTTATGATAACTTTTTTGCAGATTTACTTGTTTTTGGGATCAATTACATAAAGTCTAATGGAAGGTGATGGTAGTTTTGAAGCATTTTATTTTGGTAATGTACAAGTTTAGTTTCCAATTTGTACCATTAATAAGATTTATTCAATTTTAAGAAATCAATATGGTAAATGGAAATGAGGTACTCTGTTTTATGTATGTAACTATATCTTTGATTACATATTCTATGACCTTGTATGTGATCTAACTAAGTGATGCAGGTCAGGTTATGTCGTGCTAAAAGTACGGGAGAAATATTTGCCATGAAGAAATTGAAGAAATCAGAGATGCTTAGTCGTGGACAGGTGAAGATTTTGAACTCCGCACAAATTTTTGTACAGTCTTCTTCTGAATTTTAGTGTCGTTAATTGTCTCTTTTATGCGGTATTTTATAATTAAATCACTTCACTACAGGTTGAGCATGTCCGATCTGAGAGGAATTTGCTTGTGGAGGTCGACAGCCGGTGCATAGTGAAGCTTTTTTATTCTTTCCAAGATTCTGATTTCTTATACCTAATTATGGAATATTTGCCTGGCGGTGATATTATGACTTTACTCATGAGAGAGGATATCCTTTCTGAAGATGCCGCACGGTTCTACATTGCTGAAAGCATTCTAGCGATTCATTCAATTCACCAGCACAGTTATGTCCATAGGTATCAATATAGTTCATCGTTTGACCCTAAGTATATGTATGATTTGCTCATTGCCCTTTTCTTCAGTTCTTTTCACTTCAATTAGGTCTTTTCCTACTGAAATGTTATCGTCGAACCCATTATTCAAGCTTTAGTTGTACTTTTAATGTACCAACTTTTGCATATTCTATGGCAATCATGCTTAGTGTACAATCATGATTTACAATATGGTTGACAACATGCCACGTGGCATTCTGACAACACACGACATTGTCATCCAAGTTGTACAAATAGATTAATTCTTTCTATGCATATGTTGCGCTTATATATATTTCTGTAACCTTAGAGCTATTCAAATTGGTGCTGCTTGTAGGGATATCAAACCAGACAACCTAATATTGGACAAAAATGGCCATTTGAAGCTTTCTGACTTTGGCTTGTGTAAACCCCTGGATAATAAATATTCATCATTGTTGGAGGACGATGATTTTACTATTGATGAGTCTAGAACTGATAGTGAAGGGCATGATGGCAGTGACAGCGCTCCTTGGTTAATGGCAAAGGAGCAGTTACAGCAGTGGAAACGTAACCGTCGTGCCTTGGTATTCTTTTATACTCATTTTGTTTCTTAGTTGCAATTTTCTATTGGTTCGACAATTTTCAATTTCACTATTGTTACTGGGTTAAAAACAAAAGTGGACTCTCAACTTTTAGTGAAGTTTTGTGTTGGTCACTTTATTTTGTTTCAAATTGGTTATTGAACTTCAACAGTTTCTATAGTTCGGTCATTCCATCCATGTCAGTTAATTTGATTAACTGAAAAGCTGATGTGACAATCTAGTTGGCAACTTATTTAGCAAATAACTAGAGTTTCACATCACCTTTTCTGTTAGTTGAACTATTAGAAATGGCGGGCTTGAAACAATATGGAGTTTAGCATGGAATTTCAGGAGAGGTTTAGTGCAGACCAATATAATTAACCCATTCATTTTCTACTGATTTATTTGAAGTAGATTGGGAGCATTATCTTAGTGGTATTTTTTGTAGGCGTATTCTACAGTTGGAACATTGGATTATATGGCACCTGAAGTTCTGTTGAAGAAAGGATATGGAATGGAGTGTGACTGGTGGTCATTGGGGGCAATCATGTATGAAATGCTCATAGGCTATCCTCCCTTTTGCTCTGACGATCCAAGAATGACATGCCGCAAGGTATTGTAGTACTTGTCTGTTTGTGATTGTTCAAAACTTTTATTAGATGTGAGAACTTGAAAAACATAAAAAAAATTGTTTAACGAAGCATTTTTACTACTTCTTCAAATGTGATTTCGTGGTAATCATTGATTAATTCAGTATTTGAAATTGTAATCCATGCTCATTTACATATTGTTGACATGAAGACGTTAAAAATAGTCTTTTTCATGATCGAGCTAATCATTTTTTTTTTAATATCCCTCATTTTTTCAAGATATTAACATGCTTCTTTCTTGTATCAGATAATCAATTGGAGGACATGCTTGAAATTCCCTGAAGAACCTAAAATCTCTATTGAGGCAAAGGATCTGATCTGTCATTTCTTATGCAATGTTGACAAAAGGTTGGGGACCAGAGGAGTGGATGAAATAAAGGTAGAAAATATATTATTTACAGTAATCTGCATAAACTTCTTCAGAAAATTATATTTTTGTTACTATTGATTGTACATATGGCAATTCTGCAAAAAGTCTAGTCTAAGTTATGGTCAAACATTGCCTTATTTCCAATTCCAGGCACATCCATGGTTTAGAGGCGTTAACTGGGACACCCTTTATGAAATGGAAGCTGCCTACAAACCTACAGTATCTGGAGAGTTAGACACGCAGAATTTTGAAAAGTTTGATGAAGTACGTTCATTAGAACTTGAAATCACCCAAAGATTTTCTTAATTGTGAAAATCATTTAAATCTTGCCACAGTTTGCAAGGGATTTCTTAACCACTTTATTTTATTTTATTTTTTTTTCGAATTTTTATGTTGGGCTTACATTTTGATTTGTAATAGGGCAACAATCCACCATCTACCGTATCCACAGTAGGACCTTGGCGGAAGGTAAAAATCTTTACTTCGCTATTGTGTCATTTGTGCGTATTTTGAGGAACATGGAAACAAACAACATAAGTGAAAATTATGAAGAATTGCATAAACTGTAATGTATAACTATTTACTTCCCGAGAAAGACATAGTTAAACTAGATGAGCATGTTTCAGATGTTCTTGTATAATACTGTTTCTAAACTTTCCCGTGGAAA